CGGTGGTCGCCGTATCATTAATACAACTAGTGCTACTTATGACACAGCTGCCGAAACCACTGGTGGTGATACATCATCATTGATTAAATTGAATAACGGAACTGTATTATCTATTAAAGGCATTAATAGGTATTTTTGATGATAATAATAAATTTAATAAATTTATAAAATTTAATTATCTAATTCTTTAAATTATAGATTTCTTGCGCTAGTTTGTTTACTTCGATCAGATGGTTTTGAAAACCCTGGACTGATAAATTATAATTTTCAATGTTTTAAACAAGCAATGACAGAATTATTTGGATTAAAGAATAATCATCGTTAGAATATAATTTTTGAAAAAATTAGTAGACAAGTGAGCAGGAGTGATGAATGATGGATTGATAACGTTGTTGATAAAAAATATTTTTTATTTTTTATTTAATAATATAATTAAATAAGTTAAATGATGATGGTACAGATTCAAAACTTTACACATAAAAGTTATATTTAATAGTAATGATGATATATATTGACGAATATATCTCTTAATTTATTAATACATCATTCATCCACCTCATATTTATTTATTTTTAAGAATTTTTGTTAATTAAATCTTCTAAATTAACATTAATGTTTAAATCCTTATTATTATAACAATTAAAAAAATCTTTTAAAACATTATCGGCATCATTTGTTTCTGGAAATTGCTCAACTAGTAATTTTCGTAAAGAAACCCAGAACTGTGAATCTTTAATTTTATCAATGCCTGAATTAGAAAGTTGGGTATCTTTTACTGCTAATTCTCGTTGCTTTTGCTGCTGTGAATCAACATTTTTTGATACTGGTGGTGATGATGGAGAAGATGGAGAAGATGAAGAAGAATCAGCAGAAACAAGGTTACTTCCACCACCATCTCCTCCTCCACTATTAGTAATTCCGGGTTTATGAACCAAATGAACTACAGTACCATTCGTAATACCATGTTCAAATAAAGTTTTAGTATCAATTAAAGCTTTGCCTTTTAATATTAATCTTTGATTTGAAGGTGTAAAGGAGGTTATTTTTTGCAGTTTTTCTTTCAAGTTATAGATAGTTTCTGAATTGTTTATCTGTACGTTGTGCGTTAGGTTTCCCTTTAATGATTTAACTGAGACTTGAATTGGTGTGTCTATTTTAAAAATATTATTTTAGTTAATTCACTAGGAAAAAATATATTTATATTTAATTTGAAATAATAAACATTACCTTGAGCTGATGAATCATTTATAATTTCATTACCTTTTCCTGTTGATTTACTACTTTTTGAGCTTGTAGGGGCACTAGGTGTCTAAAAAAAGTTTAATATATTGTCCATATATTATATATGTGTAATAATAATAAATAAAAATAA